AGAGAGAGAGAGAGAGAGAGAGACAGACAGAGAGAGAGAGACAGAGAGAGAGAGAAAGAGAAAGAGTGAGAGAGAACGAAAGAAAAAGAGAAAAAAGAGAGAAAGAAAGAAAGAAGGAAGGAAAGAAATAAAGAACACGTCATTTCCTAAACCCCAAATCCAACAAGACAGCGCTATGAGAAATTGATTTGCCTCACATAATACAATATTATAACTTTGACTTTCTGATCTTGAAGACATTTGTTCTTTAACTCACTGATGGCGCGCATTCTGGCCATGCAGCCACGTTTGAAGACGTGCTGTGTTTAAGCACTTTTAAAAAAAGAGGCTATATCTTTATTAAAAAGGGAAACAATAACTTTGTTATTCATACACATTTTATTCGACTCGGCAGGCAAACAAAAACAGACATTTTCTAGAGACGTCAAGGATGAAAAAATTGCAGACACACTAGATACTATTGTACAGTTTTGTCTTTGGAAAACGAGAGATGCCTCTTTTTTATTTTTTTTTCCCTAATGGAATACGTATTTATTGTGTATGATTGTTCGAAATGGACTGTAAATTATTGTCTTTGGTTTGTTACTGGTCGGACATAATTATGATGTGTCCTGACACGGTGGAATCAGGCGCTCGTCAATTTTTGGGCATGTGAAGTTATTGGTTTAATGTTAAAGCTTGTTCATTTGTATTTCTTTTTCGAAAACAAATAGCTATCTATCTTGAATTAAAGCCAAGATTTTTAAGATTTTGAGATTGAAGGAGGCGTGGGTGTCGCCTGATGTCAGGTATAAAGTAGACCAGAAAAAGGCCGCCAAAGTTTGGAGACTTTCAAAGCGTGAGAGTCCTTGGAAACTGCAAATTTACTTTTCTTGCACCTTTAATCAATAATCATTTTTCAAAGTTTAAAATTCGAGAAAAATTTCCCAACGGGTGCAAAAATGTCGATTTCTTTGATTTCGTTATTTTGACGAGAGCCTGATTTCACCATGATGGCACACATATGAAGAGAACAAGGGAAAAACGACCGTAGTCACACACTGGAAATTGTGACTGCGCCAGTTTTAAAAAGTTGTGGACCAATAAATTCATATTTATTTGACTGTTGTTATTGAATGAGATATCTAACAACGATAATCAATCAACGGTTGAACAGAAATACAGTTATGAGTGAACAAGCGTTCAAAATTGGTACCCTTACGATTTTTAGTTTGTGACTACAGTCGTTTTTCCCGTGTAGTCTTCGCATGCGTCAGTTACGTTCACAAAGAGTTAAACACGGGTTTCAGCCATATTGACTAGACACACGTACCTCAGCTCAAAGACAGGGTACGCGGACCAGAAACAGACCCGAGATGGAAATTGAAAATTCCATTCATAATGAGGAACGTTAAACTCCTCTTAGATTCGAGAGCTCAAAACTGTTATTAACTTTTCGTATTCCCTTTTCCCCCCAAAATATCTGAACATGGAGTACCTGTTTGTGCTTACTTGTAAGTTAATACACTTTTTAAAAAACCAACAATTATATTAGAGGACCGGACGAGCTACAGATTATTTCCTCCCCTGCTTTTCACAGTTGGACTATTCTTTAAAAAAACATAGCCTATATATTTTTTAAAAAATTGGTTTCTCAAACTTTAAAATTTAGTTCGCTTTATTCTCTCTCCTTACTGGTACTGGAAAAATGAAAATGTATTTGTCTTTGAAAGCATAGACAATTGATTTTTATCTTTCTCAGACAAAATCGATACCCGCAAAGTCCGCCTGAGTAATTCAGTGGATTAATTCTCACATCAAAAGTGACCAACCGAAGTACCTCATGTCTAGATATCAAAGGCCTGTATAATAAATGTCCCATAGTCCAATATAGCTAATATCGAAGCCAGCTACCATACAGAATAGGTAACTCGATAAGAATTCTCGCCTCTCGGGAAATGAACTCAGGTCATCAACTAGCTACGGTAGAGAGCGTACCTACTACACCACAGATTATGGACGTGTACAGAAAGTGCCAAAAAGTGGAAATTGCTTATCTCAAAACCAGGTATGGCGAGCGAAATTTGACGATATCAAATATCTCTTTTCACCGTGACCTTCCTCCACAGCCTGTACATAGTACAAATTTACACGGATGACATACCAAAAACGGCGTGTTTGACTTCTCTTGCCAACCACAGGTATATTCAAAGGCAGCGGCTATTCGGACTCGAGTCTGAATAGCCCCCCATGGCTATTCGGACACAAATTCCAATGCGTGTACCGGATATGAAGTGCACAGGGAATTCGACCTTGGTCGTCCTCGGTTTCTACGATCTGGCCAAAATTTTCGACACAGGTTAAGAAAAGTATTAGTGACGTCAAAATTGAACATGAGCAGTTGAAAAGTCTGAAATACCACACAACAAAGGCAAACAGGGAAACGGCAATCTGAGCTCACAGCAATGAAAAAAAAGTAATTCAAATTTCAGAACACCAAAGGATTATAACTATCAACAGGTAGTCTAAATCCGCTTTTTTATGAGAAAGATAAAATCATTGATCAATTGGAAGTCCAGTTAGGAGTTAAGTGGAGAAAAGTTACAATCATCCCAAGCATAACAAAAGCCAGTCGTTCAAAGTGACGCGCTATGGAGTTTGAGTCCGAATAGACGCGGGAGGCTATTCAGACTCGAGTCCAAATAGCCACTTCGATATTCAAAGCACCGAGATTACAAGATGGCGGATAGGACGACTTCCTTCAACGACGCGAGAGTCGATGGGTTCATTAGCAGGACGTGCACAGGCTATCACAAGTGTTTGTTGACCGAGCGGTGAATGAGATGTTGTACATGGCCCCAGAGTCTGACTGTTTCTATAGCGCGAGGGCAAATTTGATTTTGCAGGAAGATATGCGTTGGGGGCCAGGTTTCCTTTTTTTTCTTCTTTTTTTTTTTTGTAAGTGTTCTACGGCGCTGGTAACTGCACAGGTTCATAAGAGCGCACGGGACTCGCCAAATATTTTCAATGGGTAGGGAATTTTGAATTTTGACCGGGTGGCGGCCGAAGCCTACTCTTATCGATTTTTTTAAAACCCTAAAGGTATCTTTAACGTGCACAACTTACGCACGGGACCTCCGAGCTAGATATTTCGCCTATGTCCGAGAAGTCTTGGGGTAGATCTTTGCTACAGGAAGATCAGGGGTGTGGATGAAAGACAGCAGTAAGAAGGAGCCACGTTTCCGAGGTTCTGGTTACATATTTCGTGATTGGAAAGACTGACAGTGGTCGTTACTGCCAGCAGCACAATTAAAACAAGTAGTGCATTACCTGTGCTACACACGAACACGTTCTCTTACACCCACCCCC